GGGCCACAGCACCCACTTACGATCAGGTGGTCTGTGTGCTCGTTTATCACCCCTATTCTAACATACAAAAAACATGCAACAGAAGTACTTAAACTACTTTTATAAGTTTACTTGTACTCAAAATCATTCATAAAATCAATTAATATATACGCAGTGCATGCAAAGTGCATTTTTTTATGTACTAAATATTTAAAACTGGTTGACTCAGGTGCCAAAAATTTAAAACTCGAAAATTCTTTATACAACTAGGATTGTACATAATTTTTCGAACGTTGTTCTTGGAGGCCGAGGGGCCCCTTTAGCTTGGGGGCCCCGGGGCACTGCCCCGCCTAGCTCCTGGGTAGCTACGCCACTGACTACAATACAAATAAATAAAATTTAAGAGTCTGTTTGTAATTCAAAATAACATCTTTTTACTAAATGCTTATGAAAGTATATACGGTACATATAACAAAAACACAATTTTTAAAATTTTTGGTTGTGTGTATGTTCCGGCTAATCTTCGAAACCTTCGATCTTCGACCGATTTTAGGGAACTTTCAATAGCAGATAGCTGATGTTATAAGGAGTAACTTAGGCTACTTTTTAAAAAATGATAAGGGTTTCGGGCAAAAATATTAAAACCCTAAATTACACGCTGGCGAAGTCGCGGGGAACAGCTAGTTGAAAATAATTACGGACAAAATAGCAATTAGCAGCTTTTGTGTAGTCGCGTTGTTATTTTTTAAACTTTATTTTATTTTTAAATAAAACTAATTTTACGGATTTTATCGCGTATATTAACTTATTTTTATATTCCCGACGTTTCGGGTGCTTTCCAGCACCCGTGGTCACGGGGGACTGAGGTGTTTGACGTCCTGCTGTCATAGTTAGCCCGGCTACCTTCAGTTTTTTAATATTAATTTTTGGTTCGATTTACGCAGAATGATATATAATATTAAAAAACTGAAGGTAGCCGGGTTAACTATGACAGCAGGACGTCAAACACCTCAGTCCCCCGTGACCACGGGTGCTGGAAAGCACCCGAAACGTCAGGAATATAAAAATAAGTTAATATACGCGATAAAATCCGTAAAAATTAGTTTTATTTAAAAATGTGTAGTGTTCGCGTAAATATAAGAATTCTTATTTATTTTATTTATCTTTGAGCCCTTCTAATAGTATTACTATGAAATAAAAATGACATGTTTGCTATGGTATTGTTTAATAAATCGGTAAGTTTATTATTTAACAGGCATATTTTAAGAGCATTATATTAAACTGTTCTTGTTTTTTTTATGATTTTGATAAGTTAATCACTTACAAGATCTAAATCATATATTTAAAACATATTTGTCACTGTGGGGATTAAAAGTACACATTATGTAATGCGATTGTGATTGAATATTGGTAACACATTGCTAAACAATACAATATGGTTTTATGTAGTTTTTGGCGCAACGTTGCACGATTGCCGATGATCTTTTAACTTATTTTCTTGCCATCATAATCTGTCATTCTCACAGAATACTTTACTCCTAGCGGAGAGTCATTCTAAGAGTTAAATATTTATTAACTATACACTTTAAAAGTTCTACATGTTTTTTCACAAGCAAAGGAATTCACGAGATGTGGAAAGCTAAATAATGCGTCCATTGTAGTATAAAAATGTTGTACATACAGTTAATATTTAATTTAAATTTTTTTTAAACTTTCGCCAAAACGTCTTACTTTTTTGAAATGTAGACCGCAAATAATACTATACGTAGATATTTTTGAGGTTATACTTCTTTTGGGGCGTTTGGGAAAAATGATGAGAGTGGATATTTAGGATGCGCGCGCACATCAATACCTAAAAACGACAGCATGTAGTTGTTACGATGCGCGCGCACAGTGTCACTGAAAAGCGATAACCTCAGAGGGTAATTGTCTTTCAAGTTTTTTTGTTTTGTTACGCTAAAGAAGTATAACTTCCTACGTGCGTATATAAGTACACACACACTTTTTTTGCAATTTGCAATGCTTGAATCCATTTACTTCTACTTTCTTCGTCATTAAGAAATCTGAAATAAACTTTTTTTATCAATTTATAAATAATATAATTTATTTTTATCTATTCTTAAATTTAAAGACTGTGCTAACAATAAGATGGTAATTCATTGTTACGTAAAACTAGTACCTTCATTTTGACCATCCTTTTCATCAATATAAAGTATATTGACAGCTTTTTCAAACGACTTCAAAAAAGGAACAGGTTCTCAATTAGTCGGAATCTTTTTTTATGTGTGTTCACCGATTGCTCAAAGACGCCTGAACCGATTTGGAAAATTATTTTTTGTAGTGGGGTATATTGTAGGGTATATTTCCTAGGTGGTCCCTTTTAAATTTTATCGGAATCGGTCGAGGGGTTTTTAAAACATCAATAATAAATTATATCCATATTGAAGTCGTTTGTACGAAATTTTAAATTTACCACTTGTTATTACTTTTAATTAGATCATGTTATGGATAACACAAAACAGCAATTAAATATGAGATTATTCATAATTTATCAGGTTTTTTCGTTCCTTTTTAGGCATAGGTCTTTCCTTTGTTTGAACCATTGAGTTATATGTACTACGTACTAGAGAAGCCATTCTAAACAAAAAATATGCACCACTCGATAGAGTAGTAGCCATATCTTCGCGCATGCGCAGGTGATAGTAGAGTCGTGCATGCGCAGTTGATTTAAGCACGTTGCGCCTGCGCGGTCAGTTTTTAATTTAAATTTAAATTTGAAATCTTGTGTTATCAGCGCCGCTCCACACTGTATGTATATTGAAACCAAGACTAACTAGTAGATTTGTGGCGCGACGACAGCGCCCGGTCTGAGCAGGGGGTTGATGTGGCGGCGCCCACTGTGGCGGGTGGAAGGAAAAGGGGAGATCTCCCGCCGGGCAGAACACCTTGCCCGGCGAGAGATCTCCCCTTTTTCTTCTACCCCCACAGGGTACTTGAGGACGATGACGAAGGTTTTGAAGTTGAAGTTTCCGAAGGTTATTGGTTGCGTGTTCATATCACGTCGGGGTTACCAATGTGGTGGGTGGAAGGAAAAGGGGAGATCTCCCGCCGGGCAAGGTGTACTGCCCGGGGAGCGGCCAACGCTCCGAGTGGTAGTTCGTAGCTATTCTATATATATACTGTTTTAACTTCGGAACTTTGTTAGCGCGATTTAGGCTGCGATGTGTTTCGCTTGTGGCGCGACGACAGCGCCGCCACAGATTTAATCCACACTAAATGACACACTGTACGGATTGCAGTACAGTTCAGTTAAACATAGTGTATGTTCGGAATGCGAAATCTAGTACTACTTCTTCTAGTCTACGTAGTACGTATATAACGATGGTATGAACCATATGGAACGTACACAAAGTTCATAATAACAGTGGCCCCTAATTCCTCTAAAACTTCCTTGTGAAACCGACGCCATTAGAAATAAACAAATGAACGCCATATTGGTCATAAAACCTGATCCGTGTTGCCAATATCATAATTTTTATTTTCTTATTTTAAATGTCGTTTAACTACATAGACCTTAACTGTAGTTTTTTTAATTATAAAACTAAAAAATCACAATATTAATATTTATGTGACAAACTTCGTGAATTTTGGAAGCCTGTGTAACGGGTAATGCAATTTGAGGTGGATGTCTATGTTCCGAAGTTTTGTAATTACTACCCTTTAAATTAATTATTGTTTTATGGCAACTATGGGAAGGCGAAGTGTAGGGCGTCCCCCCACGAGATGGAGTGACGACCTGGTAAGACATGCAGGAAGTCGATGGATGCAGGTGGCTCAGGACCGTGCTATGTGGCATTCTTTGGGGGAGGCCTATGTTCAGCAGTGGACTTGTGAAGGGCTGTAATGATGATGATGATGATGGGAACGAGGCAGCACGACTGAAAAGTGCGTCTTTGTCTAGGCCGTGAATCCTTACTTTTATGAGTTATCAAAATTAAACTTTATTCCGTTCAAAATAAAGTATGAATTGACTTGACAATAAATTACGAGTTAACCTTCTAGTTCTACTAATAATTCTATGGTTCACAGTATCTAAAAGTCACGACGATGATCTCTATTGACATTAGGCGTTACTTGTCAATTTATCGTTTATACATTATATAACATAACTTGTTATATAACAAGTTTCAGTAATGTGGACGCTGAATGTTATAATACGTGTTATATAACGTGACACAAATGTTATATAACTAGAACGGCAGTACGACAAACGACAATGTCATACGACAAAGTCATATAAAATTATTATATTGGATTGTTATTCTAATGTGTAGAGTATTGTTATATGTTGCAATGTTGAAAAACAATGTTAAATAATGTGGACGTGTTATAAAACAAAAGTTACACAACATGTTACTTAATCTGTACGCACCCTTAGAAACAATATTTAAACGTTGCTTATTTTTAGTCACTTCGGATACCGTTTTAAAAAACAATCGTAGTAAAAAGACATGTATTTTTTACGATTACCATATGAACAGTACACCAATTTCTAATCAGAAGGAGTGTTTATTACATATTGTATTGATGTTGCATAACTGCTTCTTCACATGGTATTATGTTCATTCCTAATGCCAATTTAATGACGCTGATTACCATTAAATCACTTCTTTTTAAAATGTGACATAGTGATTACTGTGCTGTACTGTAGACTATACTCTAACTATAAATGTGCCACAAAGAACACATTCAATATCAAAGTAAAAGAAAAATTGTTCTCAGAATTATTTTAGCGTCTTTTTGTAGGGGATTATTCCCAAAATTTAAATCTGCAGTCCTGGCAATATTAAGCCAATTTATTATTGTAGCCCTATTATTTTGGTAAAAGTTTTAGTTACCAAAATATAAATGAAGTAAAAATATAATACAATATTATAAAATAAACAATCCTGTTTCCATAACACCTACTTTTAACTTAAAAAAGTTACAAAAATCAAGTAAATGACTGTTTCCGATTTCAGATTCTTCAAATAAAGACGACTCCAGTGAAGTAAGCGTAGGAGACGATACAAAAGAAGAAAGTTCAACAGAAGACACTAGGCAACCTGGAGAAGAGAATAGCAACGAAGACGATGATAGCAAAGAGGATATTTCAACGTTAGAAGTTGCTGACGAACCGTACGTATCTCAGGCCTTTGAAAGGGATGAAGAAGGTCCAGAAAACGATTCTAAAGAAGATGTGACGACAGAAGTTGATGATAGCGTCGAAGAAGTAGCGGACAATAGCATAGAAGAAAATGGAGACAGTAAGGAAGAAGCATATGCTGATGAACAAAATGACGAAATAGGTAACTTTATACAAATATTGTTAATATAATCCTATAAAATCTTCTACCATAAAAGGAATTGATGTAGATTGATGTATATAAAAATTTGGATTTTTTCAGAAAGTGGCGAAAATATAGAAGAAGCGATTGAAGACAGAACTGATGGCGAAAAGAGTGAAGAAAATAAATTAGAGGATTCAGCAGAAGTAAGTGAAGTAAGTGAAGTTGAAAGTAAGGACGCAGACCAAGATGAAGGCGTCACAACAAGTGAAGAATTAAGTACAGAAGGGGTAGAAATAAATGAAGAAGATCCAGCAACAATGGATTCGAATGAAGATAATCAAGATGAAAAAAGCGAAACAGGGGAAAGTAAAGAAGAAAATAAGACAGATGACAACGACGACGGATCTCAAGAAAAGGCTGAATCTGAAGAAAAAGACGAGGAAGACAAAACGGATAATGAATCTCAAATAGATGAAGAGACGGATGGCAAATCTGAAATTCAATCTGAAGAAGATAAAGAAACATCGAAGGAAAAGAAAGATTCAGTTGAAGAAGCAGGAGGGGTAGATGATGAAGAATCAACTGCAAACGAAGTCGGTGACGATGAAATTAAATCTACCGAAACTGGTGAAGATGAGACAGAAAATCAAGAAATTAATGAGGTAGATGCATCTAGTGAAGCTGATGAAGGTATTTCACCAGGTACTGTAACAGAAAAATTGACGGACACCGATGAAGCGAGTCAACAAGAGGGTACAGAACCAGAAGAAGAAGGTATGCCCGAGGAAGAATTATTAATGGTAAGCCAATGACAACGATAGGCCTATATGCCAAAATTACTTCTTAACATATTCTTTTATACAATTAATATTTTTTAATAACTACATTCAACATTTAAAAACTGAAACGAGCGAAGCGAAGCAAACTGAAGAGAAAAAGTTAATGCAAATAACGGGTAAGGGAAAACGGTTGCATGAGAAGTACGTATGACTGTTAGTATAGAGGAGTTCCTCCTAATCCATTAGGTTCTACAATTATTTCAGTTATTAGAAGTAAATGTAGAATTATCCGTAGAGTTCTACTATTTATTCAGAAACAAATCTCTTTATTGATATTAAATAAATGTCTCTATCACGAAATTTCCATTTTGTTAAACTGGCCACTTTGAGCAATATATAGCAATATATATTTATAACCATGGACACTAAGAAAATTCGTGTAATTTTCGAATAGGAGTTCAGACGTGGAAAGATGAGTCTCAAGTTAAAACAAGTAAAAACTAAACAACCAAAATAATAAAATTATTAATAGCAATTTTAAGAGCTGATTTACCACGCGCTCGGTGGTAAAGGAAATCATTTAAAGCCGTTGGTCCTACGCCTGATCTCCCTCCGGTCGAGTCAGATTACCCATCGTACTATGAGAATCAAGGAGTAGAGAGTACTACTCTGCTTGCTCGAACTTCAACCATGTCCTATGCAGATGTATACTTTCCGTTGAGACTGGCTGCTGTGACCGAAATTCCGGAGGAGATTATCACGATATGGCAGGACAATGAATCTATCATCGAATAAGTTGTTGCAACGAGTGTAACGTATCTAAATAGGGAGTTTTAAAAAACTAGAAAGTCTAGTTTATGTAATTTATTCATTTTAGATTGATTGACCCCAATTGACATGTAGAAAAATGCGAATAATACATTATTAGTAATGACGTCAGTTGGGTCTGTGGTCCCGTGTTACCTCAAATAAGATTGTCTGATACAATTAATAAATTACTAAACTTAAAAAACTTATTTAAAGATGGTTTAATCTATACATATAATAAAACTGTAAATAGCAGATGTCTGTACATTTTATATTTTTGTAATAAAAGTGATTGAGGGGTACTAAAAATAAGTAATTTAATACATTTCTACCATTTTTAGAATTTTCTGTCTGTCTGTCTGTCTGTCTGTCTGTCTGTTTGTTTGTTAACGTATCACGTATAAAGTACTAATTTATATCATAAGAATTGTTAAGGAAATTATAAAGTGTATCTTCCGGTTACATTTAGTCTTTATTTCATTAAAATCAGTTCATTCCATCAAAAGTTATGATAAATATTCTGAAGTATGGGTAGGGAAGTATAGGTACGAATTTGCTCAACGGTGGCTTTGTTTGAGTCATCAAGTGCATTTTAAACTAATATCATATCATAAATCATAGTTAAATTATGTAAAATAATGATATAATTATGTATATCTAAAACGCAGTAAACAAAAGTATTAAAGAACGTATTAAATATATTATACAAAAATATATTAACCTTATTAACTAAATCTGAAGCACAATAGTTAACCCATTTCTTCGATAGATGGTGGTGTGGCATAAATGTGATACAAAAAGGCAGGTTAAAATTTATTCCTGTAGTTGAGTTTCATATTTGCTTCTAACCTTTATATTAATGACACGCTGCCCTACTGCGTGTTGACAATATCATTTATTTTTTATTTTTTTACCGCCGAGTACTCTATGTGGTAAATCAAATTTTAAGAGCTATTAACAATTTCATTTTTCGGCGAGGATCAAACTTTCTTTTTTGCTTACTATGCAGGCACTGATTTATAAGTTCTTTTATGTTTTTTATTGTATCAATCGTGTGAATTAATCTCTTATTTTTAGAATTGATGTTAACAGCGCCATCTCTCTTAAGTCTATACATATAATAAAAATGGTAATAACATGTTATGTCTGTTTCTGAATATTGTATAGTATATTAATTTGCGACTAAAATCATTATTGGGACTCTAAATCATTAAATAAGTACATTTTTATAATTTTTAGAATTGTACTATCTGACGGTCTGTCTGTTTGTTTATGGACGCATGACGTTTTGAGTAAACATCTTTTTTTTTTCAATGAAATCCTTAAGAAAATCATAAAGCGTATTATCAAGTTCATTTAATCTTTGTTTTATTGAAATTGGTTAATTCTATCGAAAGTCATGATTATTATTTTGAAATGTAGGTTCGAATTTGTTTAATGGCGCCACAAAATCCCAAAAATAGTAATAAAAAGATTCGTGTGTAAAAAAAACGTTCTATTATAATATATTTCGTATCGTTCTATTATAGTACTTAAAACACAGTAAAAATATGTTTTCCTTAAATTAAAAAAAGGATGTTTTCTCACAAAGAACGTAATAGATGGCGTTGTACAAATTACAACCTTTTCTGAATTGCGGTGTTAAGATTTTTCGCAGGTGAATCGTATTGAGACTCACTGTAATAATTTATGTCCATGAGCCTGACGAAGCTGCAAGCCTGTAAGGTATATATACAGAGGCATTGAAATATTTAATTATTCAACAAAACTCGACTAAAACTAAAAGTAGCAAATTGCAATAAATGTCGTGATGGTGATATTGTTTTATAGCCAGAATCACTCTAATACCAAATAACTTTTTTTTCACTTTTAAGTAAAGTAAAGTTGTAGCCTATTTACGTCCCACTGCTGGGCACAGGCCTCCTCTCATTTCTGAGAGGGTTTTAGGGCAAGGAAATGTCCACCGCGCTGCCCCAATACGTGTTGGCGAACTTCACATGTCATCGAAATATTATTTTTTATTTCTCAAACATGCAGGTTTCCTCACGATTTTTTCCTTCACCGCCGAGCACGTGGTAAATCAGCACTTAAAATTGCAATTGACAATTTCATTGGTGCCGGCGGGGATCGAACCCGGGTTGCTCGAGTACTGTGAAGCTTACAGCAAGCGCTAACCATCTGAGCTACCACGGCTCAGGCTTCAGTTTTAAGATAGGGATAATAACATCGATGTTGGCATCGCTAGCTCAACATCGATGTTCGATGTTTAGGCCACTCAAAACATCGATGTTGACCATTATCGATGGTTTTTGTATATGTGTAGATAGTTACACATTGTTTTAAAATTATGTGGGTATACACAGCAAGGAAAAAGTAACAATTAACTTGAATATCAATTTACGTAGAATAGTTATTATGCGACAACCGACAACGACACTACAAAATAAAGCGAATCAGTGACCATTGTGACATTACAGGAGACACTTGACAATTAAGTTTGACTCACCATACTGACATTTTTTTAGATTAACGATGCGTTCAGAAATTCTGAATTATTCAAAATTTTTAATCTTCAGAGCAGATGCAAGATTTAGTTGATATTGATTTCGCGAGTTCGCATTGTTTGCAAGTTCCCAATTATCGATTATGGGTTCATTGACGTCGATGTTTCGATGTTTGACATATGTCAACATCGATGTTAAAACATCGAAGTTTTAATTTTTAACATCGATGATCATCTAACATCCCTATTTTAAGTGTGTTTCCCACTCAGCGTGTGTTATGCGACGATCGTAAATAAAGCGCAAGGTCAAACTTTACGCGTCAGTACTGATTGTTTTGCACATGGCCAGCTCTATATTGCTTTTTCTCGCGTTAGCAGTCCCCGTAACCTTTTTCTGTACGCCGCGGCTAAGTCTACTTCTATCGTCGTTTACACAGAAGCTCTATCATAAACGACTTAGAACTTTGAAAATATCGATTTATTTTGTTACCACTTATTCATAGAGTAATGATATAAATCGGTTAATATTCTCTTACCCTAAACGTCAAATTCTTTAAGTAAAACCTATATTCGCGAGCTACGCCGCGGGCACAGCTAGTCTTTAAATAAGTTTCCATTTATCCTTCGATCATCTATTCATGATCCGTTTCAAAACTGATAACTACTTCCTTTGTTTATTTTTATTGAATGAGCAACTTTCTGAGATTTTCTGGCAATTAAACATATTTGTCTTCCTGTCTTTGTTCGATAATGTGAGTGATCGAGGTGCGCATTTTTGGCTTTTCAAAAACAAATATATATATATATATATATATATATATATATATATATATATATATAAAGCTATTCTCAAGTCTACTTCCAAAAGTAGCCAAGAGATAACTGCCGAAGTACGAGTAGTTGTTGAAATGCTTTTTATATACAAAAATTCCCTACTACAATAAATTCTTTAGACAACGCGGAATTCGACAAATGTCATGTTATTTATGATTTGTTTCTAATAGTACAATCTGTTCGCTCAGATGCGGTCATCTTTGTGTCGCGCCGCCTTGGCATGTGCCGCATCTTGTCAAAGGTACCGCCGCGATATCAAAAGTCGCCGCGTACGGTACACCCGCAGGAGAATTTGGCATTTTAAACGAAGTGCCGTAGTGAAAGGTTCTTTGCTGCCTACTTGTGCTTGTTATTTATATTCGTATTTTATTATAATAACCATTAGTGAACAGACTATATAATAATTATTATCAATCTTAATACGTCTCTAAAGTGAGGCTTGTTTCGTCTCTATAACAAATACAATTTTCTTCTTTCATTATTTCTATTATTCCGTTTTACATAAATTAAAATTCTTGCAAAGTGAAAAAAAAAATGTTTATATAAAGCAAAAGGGGTATAATTAATATTTTGTCTAATGTTACTATACTGTATACTATAATAAATAATAAGTTACAGCCTATTACGTCCCACATGAGTGGGCGACAGTAGGAATTCATAAAAGCAGACGAAGGTTATATGACCTTTACCATGAAAGATCGTATAATCTTTCCGATGCTTTTAGAGAATATGTAAAAAATTATTCTAAAATGTTTAAAAGAGTTTGCTCCACAGCCAAATCATTACATATTAGTAACAAAATTAAGACAGCTAAGAATAAAATTAAAATGACGTGGAGTATAATTAACAGCGAAACCGGTAAAGAGAAACCTCGTAACTTAAACTATCAATTAAAAATTAATAATGAATTGACTAAATCAAATCAAAAAGTTGCAGCGGGGTTTGAGAAATATTTCACTGATGTTCCTATCTTGACAACAGAGTCATTGAATGCTTCTCCAACTGTCGCCGAATCATTACTTAAACAGAATGTTAATACCTGTTTAAAAGAATTTAGATTTGAAAAAGTATTACCGCATAATATTGTAAAATACTTCAAAACCATTGATGTAAAGAAAACCGCAGATTTGTGGGGGATTTCCGTTACAGTGATTGCGTCCATAATAGATTTAATTGCACCTCATCTTGCTATTATTTTTAATACTTGTATCGATTCTGGTGTGTTTCCTGATTTAATGAAGTATAGTAAAGTAATACCTTTATTTAAATCTGGTAGTACATTGGACCCCGCTAATTATAGACCTATTTCTGTACTACCAACTCTCAGGAAAATTTTTGAAAAAATAATTTTGGATCAATTGTTAATTTTTTTTAATACAAATAAATTACTTCATAAAAATCAATTTGGTTTTACAAGGGGTCGCTCGACGTCTGACGCCGGTGTTGAGCTTATGAAATATATTTTTAATGCCTGGGAGAATTCACAAGATGCCTTAGGTATTTTCTGTGACCTTTCCAAGGCTTTCGATTGTGTTCATCATGATACATTAATCAGGAAACTACAACATTACGGTGTAAAAAATTTGGCGCTTAAACTTAATACTTCATATTTAAGTAACAGAACTCAAAAAGTCGTCATTAATGGTAAATGTTCCTCCGGATCGGTAGTATCAATGGGCGTTCCTCAGGGCTCGATTCTTGGCCCATTCCTGTTCTTAATCTATATTAATGACTTACCTTATCTTGTAGGGGACAATTACGATATAGTATTATTTGCTGACGATACCTCTTTAATTTTCAAACTGAAACGGCAGTCAATTAAATATGACGATGTAAATAATGCTCTATCGAAACTAGTACATTGGTTTAACGCCAACAATTTGCTCTTAAACGGCAATAAGACAAAATGTATTAAATTTACAATACCTAATGTAAAACATTCGAAAACCAATGTGCTCTTAAATGGGGAGGAGTTGAGTCTTGTGGTTACCACTGTTTTTCTCGGTATTACTATTGACGAGAAACTTCAATGGGGCCCCCATATATCTAAATTAGCAAGCAGACTTAGTTCTGCAGCATATGCTGTAAGAAAGATTAGAAGTCTCACAGATGTTGAGACAGCTAGGTTAGTGTATTTTAGTTACTTTCATAGCGTAATGTCTTATGGAATTTTGCTATGGGGTAATGCGACTGATATTGAAGCTATATTTGTTTTGTAAAAGAGAGCCGTACAGGCGATTTATAATCTAAATTGTAAAGAGTCCCTTAGAGAAAAATTTAAAGAAATAAACATATTAACTTTGGCATCGCAATATATTTATGAAAATGTAATGTATGTACATAAAAACATAAATAGCTTTAATAAGAATAAGGATGTTCATACCTTAAACACTAGGAACAAACATAAGCTTGTAATGCCACTTACAAGACGCCACAGAATTAGTAATTCATTTATGGGGCAATGTATACGCTTTTACAACAGAATTCCAGAACATGTTCAAAGTTTGTCAATAAACAAGTTTAAAAGTTTTATTAAAGAAAAACTGTACAAAAAGGGTTATTATAATATCAAGGAATACATGAACGAAAATAACCCCTGGGAATAAGGTGATCGCCACCATGCTGGTTCTATGAAAATTCATTTAAAATTGTATAAACAAAATTATTGTTAAGTGAAATTATGTTTAAAAAAAAGTCCCGCTGGGTTTCTTGCTGGTTCTTCCCAGGACAGAGATATTTTCCGAACCAGTGGTAAATAAAATAATGACTTTCAATAAGTATTATGTAATAATCCATATTGAATAAAAATCATTCTATTCTATTCTATTCTATTCACTACTGAGAACAGGACTCCCATTTTTGAGTCGATTTCACATTTTTAGCATTAATAGACTTTATAGTTCTTTAAAACTCCCTATTTAGATACGTTACACTCGTTGCAACAAGTTATTCGATGATAGATTCATTGTACTGCCATATCGACAGTGATAATCTTCTCCGGAATTTCGGTCACAGCAGCCAGTCTCAACGGAAAGTATCCATCTGCATAGGACATGGTTAAAGTGGCAGAGTAGTACTCTCTACTCCTTGATTCTCATAGTCCGATGGGTAATCTGACACGACCGGAGGGAGATCAGGCGTAGGACCAACGGCTTTAAATGCTTTCCGAGACATGGAGGTATAGCACCTCAGGCTCGTCATCTAGAGGAGTAGAGAGAGATTACGAACTTCCATTTAGCACTATCCTGATTCACCTCTAACTTTACATCAATGGATGTTGCTTTTTGAGTTAAGTTAGCGTCGTAACTCGTCAATATTTCTACATCGTTTTGGTCACTACTTGGTTATAGTGTAGATATAGATAGATCGATATACTGGTATGTTCATGATGGTCAGTTAAGTTTTAAGAACGTAAATATTATATTACAATATAATACAGAATACGCACTCAAATCTAATTTCTATAATTTTAGACAGGAGAAATACCGGAGAATTTGAGGTCTCGTGATCACATTATCCAAGTTCTGAGACTGGACGAGGAGGCAAATGAGGCAGAACTAATCATAGAAAAGTCTGCCGATATTATTTTGAGAGACTTAAAGAGGCTTTACGAAAATTCCATAAAACCATTAGAAGTACTCTATAAATATAGAGATTTAAGTAATAGACACTTTGGTGATCCAGAAATATTTTCTAAGCCTTTAGTATTATTTATGGGGCCTTGGAGCGGAGGAAAATCAAGTATTCTTAACTATCTAACTGGTCTAGAATTTACGGAGTGGTCTTTGAGAACTGGTAAGTGTTTACAATTTATTTTATGTTTAGGAAAACAAAAATCCAGAAATTCATTACAACTGTCGCATTTACTCCGTTATTTTTAGGTGCCGAACCATCGCCAGCTTATTTCAATATTTTAATGCATGGTAAAGATCCAGAGGTACTTGACGGTACTCAGCTGGCAGCTGATTGGACGTTCTCGGGGTTACAGAAATTTGGTCAAGGATTAGAAGAACGTCTTAGAGGTCTCAAATACCCTAGCAAGTTATTAGAAAAGGTAAAAGGTCCTATAACAAAGCGGTTGTTACTTTACGTTTCTCTTGAGTCATGAGTATGATTAAATTTGTTTCAGGTAAATATTGTAGAAATTCCTGGAATATTGGAAGTAAGAAAACAAGTATCTCGTGTGTTCCCATTTAATGATGCTTGTCAGTGGTTTATTGACCGTGCTGATATCATCTTCCTCGTCTACGATCCATCTAAACTTGACGTAGGACCAGAAACTGAAGCTATACTCGATCAACTAAAAGGCAGAGAATCGCAGGTAAAGATTTATTTAACTTATTATTTATTATAGGAGAGGGGGCAAACGAGCATACGGCTCACCTGATGGTAAGTGACTACCGCAGCCTAGGTTGCCGCTGCAACACTAAGGTAATTGCAGATGCGTTGCCGGCCTTTTAAAAAGGAGTAAGCTTTTTTCTTGAAGGTCGCTAAGTCGTATCAGTTCGGAAAAATCGCCGGTGGTAAATTAATCCACAGGGGTCGTACGCGGAAGAAAACTCCTATAGTTAAACGTACAGTGGTGGACCGCCAAGCATCCAGATAGTGTGGATGTTATCGGGAGTTTTGCCGCGAAGTGCGTTCGTCAAATTTGTCGGCTGGGATTAATCCGAACAATTCCTCAGAGCACTCCCGTGGTAAATACGAAAGAAAATGCAAAGGGATGCAACATCTCTGCGCAGCGCCAGTGAATCGAGCCGATCGGTAAGAACTCGGTCGTCGACGATTCGAGCCGCTCTGCACTGGATGCGGTCAAGTGGAAGGAGCTGGCACTGGGGAGGCCCAGCCCAGAGACGGGAACAGTATTCCATGTGAGGTCGAACTTGCGCCTTGTAAAGTTGCAGGCGGTATGCCGGCATGATAAACTGAGGAGATACGACAAATTACGATTTTTAGCGGTAAACGCGCTAACTTGTGTCTTCTGCGGATTAAACTAGACTAGATTTAGTTGTCCCCAATCCGAGAATTTGTTCAGCAAAGACTCTACTTCAGACACAACTTCATTCCGATACTCGGCGAGGTTTTCCTGAGAAATATTGGCATTGCCGGTGTATAGAGTATCACCAGTGCTGTCATCCGCATAGCAATGAATGTTACCGCTTCGCAACATATCATTGATATGCAGAAGAAATAGCGTTGGTGATAGAACGCAGCCTTGTAGAACACCAGCATTAATAGGCTTGAAGTCAGAGCATGCACCGTCTACAATGATCTTGATGTTCCGATCTGCAAGAAAGCTGGTGATCCAATTGCACAATTTCTCGGGAAGCCTATAGGAAGGAAGATTTAGATTTTAGTTTAAAATGATCTGATGAACTGAATCTGACCTGAATGAATGATGATCTGACATTAAATAGTACCTTTATTATATAGAAAAACATCGATCAGCGTACCCGTAATTACCTATTATTACGCTAGTAATATATAAGTCAATGCCTATTATATTGTTTTGTAAGAAACATATTTTAGAAGGTACAGTCCACATCATCTATGAAATAGACATTCGCTTCACAATAATGAGCAATATTCATCATCGGCAGACACGCATTGTACTGAACAAAGCAGACACCGTGAAGCCGGAAGAGTTGATGCGCGTTCAAAGCGCGTTGATTTGGAACATATCGCCGCTGATGAGCTCGGCGCAGCCGCCGGTCATGTACACGGTGTCGCTGTGGTCGATGCCGTTCGAGGCGGGCGCGCCGGCGCGCCTGCTGCAGGCCCAGGAGCGCGAGCTGCTGCGCGACCTGCGACAGGCCATCGACAGGCGCATCGAGAACAAGATCGCCAGCGCTAGGAGATTCGCGGTAAGTCAAATCTTGGCACCAATGTGAACACGCTGCCTTTAATATAGCATTAAACAGGTATAGGACATTCGTAAGATATCGCAAAATAGCTAGACGTGGGCTTACATCTTGGGGGTTATTGCTCTTGCGATATAAGCTTGGCTTAGTGGAATTATTTAAGCTTTTGTGACATTGTTCTGGCTCCTAAATATACGACCTTGGCCAGTTTCATACATAATTTCTCTTTTAATGAATTAGTAATAATCTTTTAAACTGTTCATTCTAGTCTTCTAGACCTCGACTTGTGAATTTCAGATGCTAATCTATTATTATCTACGATATCTTACATATAGCGAAATCTACGATGCTTAGTAATGTACAACCAACTTAGTTAAAAACAAAAGGCGAGCATAAAAAATAATGTTGGGTTTAATAGTGACTTCACTTGACTTATTTAGAATATTAGAAATTTATAATAATTAAAATCGAAAGAAAGTGAAATTTAGATAGGCAGAAAAGCTTCCTAGACACTGTTTAATGAATATAATTATGATTATGATCTTTGTTCTTTAAAAACATTTTTATACTCATCTTTCTAAGAACGTGCCTGCTGGTATGTGGTACCAAGTCGTAGTAATATGTAGGAAAGATGTGTAGGAAGAATATACTCTCCATACTAGACAGGTGGGTTAATAAGCGCAGAGCTGTTACCATTGCCCTTGTAACACTGCTCCTTATTCAGTTCAGCTCCATATTCAGATCAGTCTGATAAATGAAAATGTATCGTGTGTAGAAGTATTTTTCACCATCATTCGATTATTTGTTATTTTATTTGTCTTATCAATTAATTGTCTATTGACATATTCTCCCTTACATCTCAACCAAACGACTGACATAAGTAAACAAATTAGAAAAATAGACTTATGGTCCCTAAAAAAGAATATATTCTCTAGCGAGATATGTTGATATTTTTTATTTTTGCAGGTGCGAGTGAGAAACCACGCGAAAATGGTCGACTGCTACCTGACGACTTATTACAACCACAAGACTATCTTCGGCAACAAGAAATTAATCGCTGATGCTATTATTGAAAACCCTCAGAACTACCATATTTACGAGGGCTTGAGCACACTTACCAATATTTCTAGGTATGTGTACATAGAAATAATATAAGAGCAATTATTGAGAACACATACGAAACACAGCAGCTTAACCAGCAGCGTTATATTTATGTATATTTCGTATAATGAGTGTAGAGAACTTGAGACCCTTTTTACTGGAAATGAGGCAATGGAATTTACTGGTAATCGTGGATAGATGTAGATGTCTATGTGCCGCAGCAACCACTTACCATGCGGTGCAGTGCATGCAGGTGGTCTGTGTGCTCATTTGTCACCGTTATCCTATAAAAAAAAATCACTTTTGGGCCTGAATAGTATACAGCTGTAAAATAGCCGGTTATAGCGCAACAGAAATACACATTCTGTGAAAATTTCAATTGTCTACCTATTACGGATCATGAGATACAGCCCGCTGGCAGACAGACTGATGGACAGCGGAGGCTTAGTAATAGGGTTCCGTTGGTTACCCTTCGGGTGCGGAACACTAAAAAGAGACAAACATATACATCTATAGGATTTAGCATGCGAGAGAATGAGATAGAATACAACACTGTGTTATTTATATTTTAATTACATAAACCCTACAATTATCCTACTCCTGATACGCATTCGTCTCATTCTGTCGAAGTTTAGTTTTCTGACGGTTTCACTTCTACCGCGTGTGAACTGCACACGTGTTTTTAATTTCAGTTCCATGCGGAAGAAGTCGCGGGTAAAAGCTAGTATCAAATATAATACATTTTTAAAACAGACGCGTTAATACTTTAAGCAAACTAAGGCTAGATTAAGAAATTAGCCTAGGCATGGACTTTTTATTTCCTATCTATCAATAGTCTATGAAAATCCAATCCTCTTGGTTAATGGTTGTGCTGCAGCGCTTGCTATTATTAAACTCATAACGTGGGTTGGGTAGTTAGAACCAGCTTGACTGATAACTATATACTTAATATATATATATATATATATATTATATACCGACATAAATTATTAATAATAATAAAGGTTATGTTAGGTAAGATTATACGTTTTATACGTGGTAGAGCCATGCTGCAGTTATATTATGGTTGTAGCATGAATGGGTCGGCTCGACCGGGGAAGGACCACGCTCTCACAGAAAACCAGCGTAAAATAGCAGCTTATCGCTGCTGTGTTTCGTATGGTGAGTGTAGAGAACCGGAGACCCTTTTTACTGGCAAAGAGGCATTCCATCTTAGTCCTCACGGGTGACAACGCATCTGCATCTTGAGTCTTTATTGAGGATAGATGTAGATGTCTATGGGTCACAGTAACCACTTACCATCAGGTGGACTGTGTGCTCGTTTGTCACCCGATCCTATAAAAAAAAAAAAAAAAAAAAAAAAAAAAACGTCAAATACCCGTGGCCGTACAGAAGGAATAGAAAGAGTCAGTGGTAGCTCATGGAACAGGAGTTAAACAGATAGTTGAGATATTTCCTTTTCATTCATTTTTATTAATAAACGTTATTTGTTCTAGGTATGACCTTCCCGATCCCGAAACCTACAGGGACTTCTTCAGGCTAAATCCTCTTTACGAGTTCCAGCAGCTGTCCGCCACTTGCACTTATTTCCGCGGCTGTCCCATCACGCGGCTCGACGTCGCCATCGCTTATGACCTGCCTGAGCTGGTTGGCAAATACAAGAAGATGGTGGAGACCGCTACGCCCCAGGGCATGCCAAAGAGTTGAGACAAATTAACCCCTTTGCCACGTAACAACCGCTTTTTTATTTTTAGAATTGGTATAGACAATTATTTTGGGCACATTTTGCATTTCTTTTTCTAATTTGGCGTCAAATCACCTTTTTTCTACGTTTTTGTTTTGAAAATTGCATTTTATATTCGTTATTACATTCATTTGCTTAAACACTTGCTTGTTCCTGTTTTTGACGTGAATGATGTCGTGTCGAATGTTGTTATAAGAATTTATTCGTTTAACGTTTAAGATAGAGAATGCAAAACAATTTCCAGTTTCCTTTAATTAACACAGTGTTGTTTTAAGCTATAAAAATCATTATTCAAATCTAGTCATTACATAAAAGTTTGTTAGAGGAAAAGTTGTTAATTTATTTATTTACTTCTTGGGGCGAGTTCCTGAAATTAGGTCTAAGTGCCGTATTATGTATTTAACGCGGTCTCTGCCATGTTCCATCTTTTGTTAGATGGAGACGCAATATGGATATATGATTAATAAGTTAAATAAAAAAATAAAAAAGTCATGGTTGTTATTTTTCAACCCTTTATTATAATATAATACCTAATTTTAAACTACATAACAACGATAAATAATAATCAGAAAATTACAAACAGTAACGGCAGCTATTAATTCTCGATAATATTTAGAAACAATTGTTGTCACTAAATGGCATATCATTTCCGTAAGTAAGCATCGGAAGAATCTGGAAAAAGAAGAAAGAAAAATAACTCCTTTTCTACTTTCATTGTCATTTAATAGCCTTTTTTCTGAATGAAAAGTACGCTGTTGGCCTGGCGGCGATGAATTAAAACTACCCTTTCACCCTCATAAAGAAGCACGAACCTCGATAAATGGAACGTTATTAAAAACCCTAATATTAGGAAACTATATTGTATAGAAGGTATTTAGATTATAATCTATTTTTCTATTGTGCTTAAGATCTTATAGGATTTGAATCTGTGACACGTCGGCGAATGCGGTGAACCAATGAATCAGTGGTTCATGTGTCATGTCATGACAACTTTTAGATCAAAAGTGAATGTACAAAGAGTACCAGTGTTATTATATTTAAATTGAAGTACGCTAATTAAAGAAAGAGTACCAGTGTTATTATATTTAAATTGAAGTAGCTAAATTAATAGCAAATCTCAACCCTTTAGAAGTTACACGATCATCACTAACAGACGCACCAACGATTACACAATAAGTTAAAAAACAAAAAGGTGCTTTTAAGTCCCAGTTTTAGGTAACTATCTAACTTTTATAAGGCTAAACATGTCCATTGCATACATAAAAACATAAAAATGCTTTAGACAAATTAATTTGGGCATAGACCTATAAAAAAATTCGGATTGATACTAGGCCGGTAGGGAGTATAATGCTATCAATCTTTCTCACTCTCCATATTAAAATACTGTACATATTCAATATGTAAAAGTTTAACATGTTCTGATTTCCCAGTTTAAACAGACGTACCTATTAAAAAAGACTTAACTACTTTTAAAAACACCGTTTAAAACGTAGCGATTATATACTCTAGCCCAGTAATTAAGCGTTTTATTTTGGTTAAAGTTCGAGACCTAGCCAAGAACATACATTACACAATCTATGAAAAGTTACATGATTAAAGTTTTGAACAAATTATTTTAAAGGATGACTACAAAAAAATGTTACAGAGACCACAGAGTACATTATATATTACAGACATTATATATGACAGAGACTGACAGACGATGACCGACGTAAAGAACACCCGATTTTTTTATGCCAACCTAACAATTACTGCCAACCTCCAGTCAATAAATAATACTTGTAAGAAAACGACGAACAATATAACGGAAAACTAAAATTCTGATTAAAAACCGAAATAATGATGTTAAGAACTAATGAAGCATATTAAGTGACTAGTAATGAAGTTTATTAAACAAATGAAGGATATTATATAGAATTAAAATTAAACTAAACTCATTACCACATTTAAAATATTGAATAATACAAGCTAAATAAAAACTATTGAATGCTAAATAATGAAAAAAAATTTATAACTTAATATTATTTGTCTCTAAATATTCCATAAGGCAATTGAAAACATTTGTAGGATTCGTCTACACTTTTAGTATTTAAAGTGATAACGACTGCTTGAAATGAATGCTTGAAGTGTTCGCCGAGTACTGGATGTTAAAGTGCTGTGTTATTAAGACTGCTAAGTTAACAAATAAAATACGAAGTCATTGTGAAATATGCACGTTTCACCGTACAACATTCTTACTTTTTTTAGAATAAATTAAGAGAGGATGTATTTCTGTAGGTAATACGTTCTCTTTAATATAAGTTTTACCAAAGTGTTAAATAATGAAATATGATCATATAAAGGACACGAGAAGAAAAAATTGGTAAATCCAATTGGGCATACCTTAAGCGCATTAAAAAAATTCCGTATAATATGGTTATACGGAATTTTTCAAAGTAGTTTAAATACATTTCGACAGCATTATTGGCTCGAACACCCTCGAAAACCATGAAAATGACACCTATGATAAAAAATTGATACCTATTGCAGCCGCCATCTTGGATTTACATTTCGACAGCACTATCGGCTTCAACACCATCGAAAACCATGAAAATGACACCCAAGATGAAAAAATTGATATCTATTGCAGCCGCCTTCTTGGATTTACATTTCGACAGCACTATCGGCTTCAACACCCTCGAAAACCATGAAAATGACACCCAAGATGAGGAAATTGATATCTATTGCAACCGTCACCTTGGATTTACATTTCGACAGCACTATCGGCTTCGACACCCGCGAAAACCATGAGAATGACACCCAAGATGAAAAAATTAATATCTATTGCAGCCGCCATCTTGGATTTACATTTCGACAACCCTATCGGCATCACCACCCTCGAAAACCATGAAAATGACACCCAAGATGAAAAAATTGATATCTATTGCAGCCGCCATCTTGGATTTACATTTCGACAGCACTATCGGCTTCAACACCATCGAAAACCATGAAAATGACACCCAAGATGAAAAAATTGATATCTATTGCAGCCGCCTTCTTGGATTTACATTTCGACAGCACTATCGGCTTCAACACCCTCGAAAACCATGAAAATGACACCCAAGATGAGCAAATTGATATCTATTGCAACCGTCACCTTGGATTTACATTTCGACAGCACTATCGGCTTCGACACCCGCGAAAACCATGAGAATGACACCCAAGATGAAAAAATTAATATCTATTGCAGCCGCCATCTTGGATTTACATTTCGACAACCCTATCGGCATCACCACCCTCGAAAACCATGAAAATGACACCCAAGATGAAAAAATTGATATCTATTGCAGCCGCCATCTTGGATTTACATTTCGACAGCACTATCGGCTTCAACACCCTCGAAAACCATGAAAATGACACCCAAGATGAGGAAATTGATATCTATTGCAGCCGTCACCTTGGATTTACATTTCGACAGCACTATCGGCTTCGACACCCGCGAAAACCATGAGAATGACACCCAAGATGAAAAAATTAATATCTATTGCAGCCGCCATCTTGGATTTACATTTCGACAACCCTATCGGCTTCAACTCTTTCAAAAACCATGAAAATGACACCCATGATGAAAAAATTTATACCTATTGCAGCCGCCACCTTGGATTTACATTTCGACAGCACTATCGGCTTCAGCACCCTCGAAAACCATGAAAATGACACCCATGATGAAAAAATTAATACTACTTACTTTAGTACGTACTACTGTTATTTATTCAGTGCTTTTAAAATATTCTAATAAAAAAAATCTCTTATTATTATCATAATCAAGTATTTAAGAAATTTGGTTATTCGAATATTGTGTATTTATTCAGCGATCTTTTTGAGCCGCTGCAAACAACCGAAACAATGTCCACTCACGACGGCAATTGACGCCAAACCACAGAGAACTTTTTATACGCCAAACTGAGACTGAGTGTGAGTAGTTTCTGTGGCTGTAGCTCCCCATTTACAGAAATAATTTACATACAAGGCTACCAAATCAACGAAAATTTTGCCATTTTGGAGCCGAAAAAAATTAATTATAGCTAAACAATACAAAATTACACTGCCATTTACATTCAGTGGCTTCCCACATGATAGATGAAGAGATTAAAAAATTGATTGAGTTAAACAATTGATATTTTCAAAAGTTATTGTGTTTACAAGCCTTGGGGGCATGATAAATCCACACCATAAGCCACTAAAACCCCTTTTTTATTTAAAATAGCAATTAATCGATTTAAAAAAAATATTAATAAGTTCAACAATCATTTATCTTTCTAACAATGTGCTTTTTATATCATTTATATGTATAATATAATTGCTAGATACAATTTTATTCGATAAAACGTTGGAATCTTAATTTTTAGGCGATAGTAGAACATACCTTACGCTTTCGCTTAAGGTATGCAATATGGTTGAGGTCACCAATATCTAAACCACATTTACATATTCAACAATTTTTAATATGAAGCCTAGTAAGGTGAACCGAATTACGGCAGTGACCCAAGCGCATTCTACATAATATTGATGTATGCAAAGATTAGAGAGATGTTTTCTTATTTAAGGTTAATTTATAAACCAAGGCTTAGAAAGAATGATGGGTTGAATTTTGGCATAGTGATAGCCTTTTGTCGTTTTGGTTTTGTTCCAATGTTTTGACCACTTATCTCTATACAATAATTTCGTAGTCCTTATAAGGTCATAGCAATATTTTTTAAATAAGGTAATTGCATCTAATAACGGCCGGGGTTTTGGAAATCCTACTAAATCAAACTTGGGAAGTATGTTGATTTGTAAGACATCACGATCAAATAAACTGTTTTTATTTGAAGATAAAATATTGTACAAAAACCCGGCACCAATGGCCAGTAACTTACAAAAAAAGTTTGTAAAGCTTGTCTATGGTCCTTATTGGGCTCTAGGGCTCTAAATAGGGTCCATA